GTATTGGAGTAGGTAATTATGTGCCTCATTTTATACATTTCAAAAGCATGAACTTGTAATAACTACATGTATTTATGACACAATCGCCAGAGATTTCCCACAGGACATAAGACAATACGAAATGTTAAATCTAATACCTTTATCAGGATGCTTTTTCATCAAGTAGATTATTGCATATTGATGTGAAAGATTTGTGTTAGTAAGTGGTACTAGAAAACTATAGGGCATATATAAATTATTATTAAAGTACGAAAAGATCACTTTTCAACGAATTTGTTATCAAGCTGTACAATCGTATATATATGAAATTTTTTGTTGAAGCAATAGTTCCGTGAGGACAAAGCTGGAAAACAGACAACTTAGTTCGATTATCAATCGACAAAATCTATAAGATACATAAATGACACATTTGTGACGATATTGAAATGGTACGTCCTTTACATTCCTTCGACGCATGCCATACTTTTAAACATTTCACTTTAGAAAATAAGCTTGACCATTCAATGGCTTTTCTTAATAAACGTCTGACAAGAAGTGATGCATCCTTAAAAATGTCAGTCTACAAAAAACAAATATGGAACGGTCAGCTGAACAACTTCGATAGCTGGCTTCCAATAAGCATAGAGCGTAATCTTATTCACCCTTTGTGTTACCGAATTCATTGGATAAGTAATACGGAATGCATTGACGAAGAACTTCCGTTCCTCAGGAAAACTCTGACTGGAAACAGCTATCCATATCACTTCACGAAGAATAAAACAAAAAAGAAGTCAGAACAAAAGTCCGGCAATTCCGATTCAAACAAATATATTTATATGAATATAGAATTTAAAGGCGACCGAACTTCCGATGTGACTAAAAGTCGGTTAACGTCAGCGGTAAAAAAAACGTTATATGCAGCAAAGCTGCGACTACCGTTTACTAGTAGGAACTTGCTTTTCATATCAGTAAAGAATAAGCTTCCTCGTCTGGTCGCCTCTATGTGCATATCCAACTGCCTAAAAGAACAAGAGTTTCAGCCATCCATGAGATGAAGCCGGGACTGTGCGTTCAAAAGAAGTACGTCTTATATTTACCGTTACCATGGTCATTATTATTATATTTCGTATTTGAAAATATTCCCCTCTCTAATTGTTTGTCATATCCCTATGACTTTATTTAAAACTGTCTCTGACATCACCTTTAATTATCGTAACAAAAATGTCTTAATTATAACATTATAAACCGTTGCTAATTTGTGAGTTTTACAAGGCTTTTCATTCACACACACAATCTTTCATTGTTACTATTTACATTGCGTAATCTAGTATCATAAACTTTCTATTACATCATCATGTTCATTCTCTGTTCATATTTCCACAGGGAACCAATGCTTTAACAAATAATTTTCATATATATGTATATTACAATCTAGTCATTTAAAATGTATGATATACATTGGTTACCGACTACTTGCTCAAGTGAAACCAAACAAATCACATCTTTCTACATCTTCATGTTAATATCAAGTGAAATACATAACCATAAGGCAGCTTAAGCACAAATTCGCAACCATACTGATTGTTAGTTGAATTATGTAATACAAAACATTATATAAACAACTTATACTAATTCAACAAAAGTAATCCGTCAGACATTATTTTGACTGTATTTTACTCTCATAGCTTGCAAGTACGATGCTAGTGGGTAGGAAAAAAACACTGTGCTATGTTGTAAGTCGGAAATAACAGCCTGGCCGAAAATGTAAACTATTTATCCAAATAATACGTCTTCTCTAGTATACTACTGCTAAGTAGTTTGCTATTACAACAAAAAATGGAAACTAGGTTATGTGGTATCTGTACCACTTACACATGAAATATCTGAATGTCAAATAAAGATTTTTTCTTGCACATACTCTACAGTCACTCCGGTTCTTACTACTTCAACCTATACATTCAAAACAAATATTTCTAATGAAGAATCATCAGACAGGTTCATTGGTCAAAAAACGTTCCAGAAAAATATCCATACGGATTTTGTATAGGTAATTCATGAAAAACGTGTTCAAGTCCGTTATATTAGACATTATGTTAGTTACAATTAGTTCAAACAACTGCTTGACTTCTGGAAGTGTGATATTTGAGAAAATTTGGCAAAGGAACAATCATAGAGAATTTAATAAAATTCAGGAATACGCATTCAAACCAATTGATAAATTTAAACAAAACATGGGTGTAACGATTAGCAAAGCTCACAAATGTTAAAATACCCGCATACTGAATGACAACAGCAAGCAGTAAATGTTCATAAAAATGACAGAAATATCTCAAAAGAATTTTCTTGAGAAAATATGCAATTTCTCAATTAAAAAAACAGGAGGCTTTTCCTAAGTGAATAAAATTCTATATATACTAGTTAGTGAAATTTATTAGTAAAAGCTTATGACAAAACATACAAGTCAGTCAGTCAGCTACAACGTAGGATCACGCATATAATATGTGCATCGGTTCAAGGTGCCATACCTCACTAGCATAAAAAGATGAACACCGAATTCATAGAAGTAGTTAATTCACAGGTGGTAATATATAAAAGAAAGATTGCATATAAGGACATAGTACAGGAAGAAAGAATTGGGTCACAGAAAGGAAGTTATAAAGCGATTTTAATCTCATAGTTTAAGGGAAGATAGAGTGTATACACCTACGTCATTGTGATCGATTTTGGGTCATGTCACCCAGATCCTCCAACCATTGGTTACGCGGAGCCCAACCAAGTAGGCTGCATACAACTCGCTCGTATTTAGGTCAGTGCTACTACATCCCTTCGCTATTTAAACTATAGTATAGTGTTTCAGAAAGAATAGCTTCACCTAAAATATTTTCCATGATAAAGTATTCCAAATTCGCTATGACCATTTATAGAGCATTTGGTATTAAAGGAAGTCTAACTACAAAATGCTTTGATAAATAGCACGAATCAACTGAACATAAATACTTCCAAAATTCTGTCGTGTGATTAGAATGTTGAAAAGTTATAACCCGCGCTTGCGAGATTAAATCTACCTCAAGGTCAAGACTTCAAACAGGCTGATAGGATACGGCTTAGTTACGACTCAACATTTAAGGCTGTTAAATAATCAAGTATGGAGTTTTCTACTGCGAAATTTCAATTATACTGCTATGGGGATTTATTGCTCCGTTATCTTAAATATCTCAAATTGGGTTATAATTCAAAGAGATCTATACAGTTTTCATGGGATCGGAAAATCGTAGTTTTTTTAATAAGGACAGACAACATCGATATTTAAAAAATATACGTGCAATAGAATATGACCATCTAATTTACAACTTTTAATCCCATTCTTGATTTCGTCAGTTGTTACAGAAATTTAGCAGTACAGCTTCATCACTTGGAAGAACTTATCAACCAGTTTTTGTCCGGAATGTAAGGTGGAACTGCCCTTCTGGATAACAGAAATCGTTTGGCAGTGTAATTTCATTACTTTCCGGTATGCTGCTAACAGTTCAGTCTTGAAATTATGGTCGAAGCAGACGCTTCCAATTACATTGTCGGAGAAAACACGAACACAAACTTCCGGTAATAAGCAATGTTTTACATTCATCTGTTGAAGATTTTAATCAAAATAATTATCTGAGTGAAAAATAAAAAAGCGTCGTCATAACTCAAATTTCCACAACAGAACGATAAAAATGGTTCGCTTCTATTAAGAATTTATCAAGTTGCGTAAAAAAACGTTTGTACCTTTTCCACACAAGCGACGCATCAACAAATGGTGACTTAATCAGAATAACATTATGTGCAAAATTACACAGGCCAAAATGTTATGAGTGCATATAATCATATAAATAAAAAAACAATGTGTACTACTGACCAGTGCCTTCTCTCTGATATATGCTTGAAAATGACTCTCCCAAGAAACTAATTTTTGAAGGATTGATTAAATAAATATCAGGGATGACAGTAAAGAATCTGCCTAAAAGTTCAGAATCTTTACTGGACGAGTGCTTTGTCTGAATCATCTCAGTGACGAACTCCAAAATAGATGGCTATCAACCAAATTCGGAATATTACAGACTATTGTGTTTTGAAATTCTTTTTTTAACAAACGTGAAGAAACGAGGTGTTGGGTTAAGAGGTAGGAAAAACTCAAGTTGATAAACACCACAAAATTTTCTGTGTGGATTTGAGTTACGAATTAATCGATACAATCTCCGAATTCGAGTCACTCGTTACCGGATCAGAACCTCACAACCCTTACTTCCGTTCAGCTCCATTCAACTAATGGTTAGCTATGATTGAGAGTATCGCAATTTCGTAGGTAAAAGATCAATCCTTACGAAATCCAGCCTATCGGTTTCAAACTTGAGTGTCCACTGAATCATTCATTCACTTCAAAAACAATTTGCTGAAAACTTTTCGAGGTACTGATAGTAGTTCTCAAACGTACTAAGGAATCCTTTTTGATATCTTGATGAAGTAACTTCCCGTTCAGTTCAAAGGTATGTGTTCTTCCTCCCAAACGTCTAACATTTTAATAGTTTGCTCTAGTGCTTCAGCTGGCATGCTTTCTGGTCTTGCTGTTTGACGCTATTGATTTGCCAGATGAATTTGCTGATTTCTCCTATTGCTGGTTGGTTTACATCTATTTGAATGTCGGTATGTGTCCGGCGGCTTACCCTCAGGTACGTTAGAATATTTCAATGATAAAACTGAGTGCCAACTTAGCAGATGATGTAAACGTGTTTTGGAGTCAAATAAAATAAAATTTAGAACATTTCATTTACAAAAATGTTTTCTCAATCATAATAGAAGGTACACATTTCCTCATACGATAGATTGATTGTTTTTAACCGCCGAATACCTGGCATAATTCACGGTCATGTTGTTCACTAAAAATGATTATTAGATGGTCTCAGATTCGATCACAAGATATCCACCCTTAATAATTCCCATTACAAATCAAACATCTAAACAATGATTCTTTATTTCCATAAACAAGCACCCCAAACTGCTTAAAAGATGAGTGTAATGACCAGAATTATGGAAAATGTAAGACAATGATTTTCGCAAACACATGTACTTTTAGAACATTTAGAAACTAACGAGAATCTAACAAATGCGCAATGTTCATTGTGTATATTAATAGGCAGCAATAAAAATAATAATGAATAAAAGAAATTCAAAAATTAGTTCTGTCCAATTGATACATTGTAAGGCTTAAAACTGGCATTCACAAAATGATAAATAATTACTTCCAAAGCATTTGATCATGAAATGTAATATGGACATGATGTGCATTATCTTTTATAGGACCTCGTAATTCTGTGATTGTTATATGATTTCTACCCAGTTTTAAAAATGTTTTCGGTACATACAGTCGAAACTGTGGTCCTTGTTGCTGATCAAATCGTCCTACATGATGACCATTAACTGATATTATTCCCTATGAACGAAACAAAACAAGATTATGAACCTAGATTTCATGACAATAAAAATCCTAGTTTCATATTTACGAATGAATAGAAGATATGTCAGTCTGACAACATTGGTCGTCATTCCTGTAGGTATGTGGCAAAAAGCTCCAAGTTACACATTATCTAGTGATCATAATAAATATTTACCAGACTATTTTGGAGTGTCCAAATCAATCTGTTAAATTTTTATTAAATTTCATTCATCTAACATATTGTTTAGAGCACTGATATCTATTCTACTACGGAACCGACACATGGGAGTTGAAGTTAAACGACATTTAAAATAGATATGTATTTATTCACCAACAGCTTTGAACCACTGTGTTCCACAACAATGACACCGACAAAATACTGCAATCGGAAAGGCTGCTTATAATCACATAAAGACATGAGGTAAAGTAAAATATTTCAGTAAAATAGCTAACGCTTTCTGATTTGCTATTAGACATTACCGTATGTAGTCGACAAGATTTCACATCAAAATATCAAAAACCTGCACATTTAGTTTTGTCTGTTATTTGAAAAAAAATTGATACAGACGAGATGTTTAAGGCCACTCACTTCATTGCAAAACAATTCAATTTATGCTTTGAAAGCTTCTCTTTTGTATTTGAAAGAACTCACTACACAGAATTTCACAAAACGGTCAAGATTTATTTGTGTAAATAACTTTCAACAGCTCCTGCACCTGTCGACTGTTCTCTTAGGATAACAAGATGGATTCTGAAGTTGTTAAAGTCATAATCAAATGTCTATGAGAAGCGCTTATGATAAAGATTAGAATCGTATTTTATAAACAGCCAGTGTCTGTCTGTCTTACTAAAAAAGTTATCTAAAATTAAGCGTATGTCAGTTTGATACCGTGTTGTAATACGTTAATCATGTATTTAGTGAAGAAGGCGATAAAAATGAAGACAGTAGTTAGTAAGATATATCAGAGTAAAATTATAAAGATCATATTAGAATGAACCACTCTCTTGTAGTAATTCTTTAATTGAATCAACTTTTAAAGAGAGTTAACAGATTTTTATGTTTGCGTCGATGTTCAAAGAATGAAAGTAATCAGGAAAGCATATTCATGTTTTGTGAATATAGTTTGTCATGTAAATGACTGTTAGACACACCTTTACATTTACATCTTAAATTCATATATTAAACCTCTTCCTTACCCTCACAAAACTATCAGGTTGGATGAAAGTATCTCCCAAATCCTCAACAATGAATGCCCCATGATAAATAGATCCAGGTACTGGCCACTTCTTTTCTGACAGAAAATGTTTCCTTTTAAAATAGATAAACAGTCGTTAAAACAACAACATGAAATAAGTCTGATGACATTAAATCCAGATTTAAATTTAAATTCAAGTTGATTAAGAAACTAGTAAACATTAGTAATTGCTGAGCAAAATGTTTCAATGTATTTTAAAGACAATGAACCTCCTACTGAACCAATCTATAACACATATATTCTGTAGATAACATGTCCTGAATAAGAACTAATGATGACTTCAGACATTGGGAAAAGATTGATTTGGTGCAAGAAATTAAATTCAAATCATGAAAACTAATTCACACGAAACAACTTGGTAACGCGATCTTAATATTGGACAGAAAACGTTCCTCAGAAAGTTCGACTGGAAATATGATTTGCTTGATTGCCTAATAATAATTATTCTCCGATTGACAACACAACTGAAAGGTCATTTTACTAGTCAGTAAATTAGAAAACCTTTCTTTATAACAAATCATTCATCTGATAACAGAACAAAAAAGTCTGAAGTAAGCGAGTGTTAAGGAATTGATTGGATAAGAATTTCCGATATTATGATCTGAAGACATTTGCTTTGGCAAGTTGTCGATTCATCCTTCTCACTTTCAATGGAAAACCAATTCATAAATTTACCGAATCAGCTGCAAGGTTTTTCGTTACGCCTGAGAGGAAATATTTGTAGTTGGGACTTACAGAAAATATTCAGCCTAATAAATGTAGATGATAATCAGGTCAATACTACTTTTAAGCTGGCTATCTAACTTCTGCTTAGAAAGATGCATATAATTATAACTTGGATCATTAGTATAAACCTCAGGATTTCTACTTTCAACAGGTTATGACAGAAGTATTGTCATATTCTCATATTCATTTATCCAGTTGGCAGTAGAACCTCTTTTAAGCGGACAGATGTTCTGAATTATTTACATCTTATCATCTATTGTGTTTATAAACTTAAGCTTAGTAAAATTTCTGATATATGTTTCATGTACATAGAAATCGTTGTGCTTTTGCTCCTGTGAACTAACTCTGAAGTTTGAATGTCACAAGTTTTCTACAGTAAAATTATGTGCGTAGAAATGTACACTATGCATAAAAGAATATAATGGTAAAATCATAATAGTGACGAGTCCTATGTATCACTCAAATACAATTTGGCATCGATAAATGATATACTCACACAATATCAACTACGGCGTCGCCAGTTAAGGTACTTATTCATACTTTTAGGATCGAAAAAATGATGAAATCAAACATCAACGGAATTCGTAATGTTTCAATAAATTCAGAGTCAACTAAGTGAAGCTCCATAATCAAACAAAAACACTAACAGATTAGTAATGAAGTGTCAACTTCGATCGATGCAGATCTGTGCAACTTCCTAGGTTGCAACTAATTAAATGACTAACAATGTAGTTACATAATTATCTTGAGACGTCTTTATGAAGTGAACTAGTGATCAAAATTAGTTACTGGTCTTCATCAACATACTTTACCAAAACATTACACAATAAATGTTTTGGTCAGTAAGTTGAGTATGGCAAATCACTTCGTCCACTCTTACCCATAAAATTGAATGCTTCTAAAATCCAAACATCAATCCATCATTTAACCCCGAACAAACGAGCTGAAATGACCATGACCTTCTACGCTAATCATTATTTAATAGCTAAATAAACACACACACACACACACACTATGAATCTCTCCTTAACTGGTGCACAGCTAATGGATAGACAGACTTTAATGGATTATAACACTGACATTTACACCGTTTAGAACACAGTGAATCCTGGTCATGTAACATCAGAGGTAATTGACAGATTTGATTAAGCCGAAAATGTTGAGCAGCATGTCACTCCGAACTGTTAATGTTAGTGTCAAATAAAAATAGAAAATTCATTGGTTAGTGAAGTGCTAGTTTTGGGAGAGGGAGGATGCTAAAAATTGACATTTTCGAATACTACCATTCTTATTTGTTTACGTTCACAATACCTTTCAGTTTTAATCAATCTATGTTGAATACATCACCCCACCAAAAAGTAGCTTTGCATAAAATAACAAATAGAGAAAACCATGATAAAGCCTTTATAACAGGTTATTTATCAAAATCACGTATTTGAAACATCAGTAGTAACTTCTCTATAATTCATAACAAATAACTGGATATTTTATCGTTCCATTTTTGTTCATGTTCTATTCAAAAATTAACATGCTTCATTGGAAACTACGATTACATACATTTGAAAAACCGTATAGGTTTAAGTCTAGGAACCTACTTTCCAATAAAGCTAATTAAAATACCAAATCATTTTTTCGCTAGAACGTAGAGATAATTACATTGTTATTCACAAATGAAACTCGCTCGACGGCAAATACAGTCAAGTCGAAAACTTTATCATGAGGACAGTCACCCTTACGTAAAGGCGAAAAGTGTTAATCTAAAGATATTCTACTCACATTTTGTTTGTGCTCACTATAGCAAACGGATCTCTAATTGGAATCATTGTCCAATCTCGAAGTTCTTTTCCATTCAATATTACCGGTCCAGTAATACCCTAAAAACAGGATTATAATTGAAACTGAACTTTTACAATAAAATAAGGGAACAAGTTCTAACATTCTTTCTCGTCAGTTATGACAAAGATGTTGTTACAAGTATAAATTTGACAGAATAACAGTAGTTTATTTCTGCAGTCTCCCAGAGAGACGTTAACTGGCTTGTATTAAAATGTTAGGGGTGGAACGACAACCAAAGGTTAGAACCTATCAGCCTGGAATTTACACTTGTATCAATAAAATAATTTATTTGTAATATCCCAATGAGTAGAAAAATTAAATTTTCTGATGTTTCGTGACTCAGTGTAAGCCGCTTCTTCAGAGAATAAATAACCAAATCAAAACTAATCCAAGGTTAAGTAGTACAAAGGGACAATGTAATAATATTATGTACGATCAATCAAATAATAGGTCTGAACAAGTCAATTGACATGTCTACTCATTGGAATATTACAAATATATTTTGTTTATAAAAATCTTCCCAATGTTCTATTTATTCGCAATTATCAAGTCAAACCTTGGTAATGATACTTACACTTGTATCATTTATGGTCATACAGGATATATCGACTATTTATCATTGCTTCTCTATTTTCTAGTTAACCTTATGGTACAGTCATTAGCTTTACGTATTCAGTCACATTACACGTTTAGTTAAATATTTACTTAATCAAAACGTTTGATCATATCAGAAGGTCAAAGACTTTAAATATAGTAGTGCCGTGGTGTATGCTAATTATGCTGACAGACATAAGCTGTATGTAACACCAATCGGAAATGGAAAACCTGGTAGCAGAAGGCTAAGAAGATCGAGTGAAGAGAATAGAAAGGAATTGTGAACTTAAAGAATCGTACAGAATGTGAAGGACAACTGATGGAAATTCGCAAATGAAGTATTCATTGTATGGTTTTTATATTTTACCAAGATACTCTGTAATTTTGTATTTAAAACACAATAGATTTTCCCCATTTGTGGTGTCGGTAACTACAGTGTGACGGCGTCTAGTAATAAGTCACAGTATGAGAGTATTATTTTACGATTACAATGATTTGATTCATTATTAAGGCACAAAATAAGGAGATAATGCATTCTTCGACTTACCTTTACATCCGAATACATGTTAGATCCATAATTAATATGTCCAGCATTTTCAGCAATTATAGTAAGGTTACTTATATCATGCATGTTGTTTAATTGAAACGTTCTATTTTTATATCGTATTGAGCCATGAAATGTCTAATTAAGTAAAAAAAATTTAAAAAGCATTTTTAAAATTTGTAATATAACGAGAACAGCTTTGACGAAAATACAAGTAAAAAAAGACAATTAGAGTATGAAATTTCGGACTGCCCATAATTAAATGTAATTTATTGATGCTAACATAAATGAGAATAATGAATAGCTCGGTTAGCGTGTCCGCATCGATAAAGTATCACCTTTACAAGTCAAACTCAAAAATCTATCGAATTTAATAACCGTATGTTTGGCCCCCTACCAATGGAAATTTACTTGAAAAGCAGTAAAATTAAGTACACACATCAAATAATTATGATTTCTTGACAAAAATGAATTCATTCAAATATTAAAGCAATTTCAAAACTACCACATTATACAAAAGGAGAACACAAAGACTGTGAACAAAGTCGTATTAACGAAGAGAAAATAAAGCATTCACAACCATCTTTATAGGTAGCCAGGGTATCCTAATTAGGGACCTTAAGTTGAAACTGTTTTCTACAGGATAAATACATTTGAGATACACTTCATAGGCACCATAGGTGTCAGAACACTATACTGATGATAGTTTACTTATTTATGTACTTACGCCTGTTACCCACAGTGGAGGAACATAAGCCCTCCATTAAGATTTCCCATCCAACTCTGTCCTGGGCAATCTTTTCCATTTGTTTACAGTCGCTATTCATTCCTTTGATGTCTGCCTAATTCCCGCCCCATGCATACTTTGGTCTACATATTTTCTTTTTGTTTTGAGGATCCCAAGTTATGGCGTGTCTTATGATAATTTCCCTTAAATGTGATTAATCGACTGCCGGCATTTTTCCAAGATTTCAGCCACAGTTGGAAACTGGTTTGTTCTCTCCGACAGTAGGCTGTTGCTGGTGGTATTCGGTCAGCGGGCATTCAATATATTGTGCATACAATCGCTCACAAATACTTGAGCTTTTTATGATGGTTTAGTAGTTCTTTAAGTTTCAGATCCATACAACAGAACTGTCTTGACGTTCGTATTGAAGATTCTGACTTTGATGTTGGCTGACAGTTGTTTTGAGTTCCATATGTTCTTCACTTCTAAGAATCTTGCCCTTGATTTGCCAATTCTTGCTTTTATATCTGCATCAGATCCCTCCTGTTAATCGGTGATGCTGTCCAGGTACGTAACACTTTCCACCTCTTCCAGAACTTCCCCATCAAGTGTGATTTGGTAGCCACTGTGTTACATTTCAAGATCTTGCCTCATCCCTTGTGTATATTGATGCCTACTGGTGCAGAAGTTTCCGCTACAATGTCTGTTCTCTGCAGTTGTTAGTATGTTTGGGAAAGGACTAGGTCATATGCAAAGTTCAAGTCATCCAGAAGTAATCAAGCTGTCAACTGTACTCAGTGCTTCCCCTGAGATGTGGAGGTTTTCATAATCCACTCAGCCACCAAGAGAAAAACCGTGAGAGTAAGCAGCTCTGTTTGACACCGCTCTTCACTTGGAATACATCTATCAGCTATCTTTCATAGATGACTTTTCAGTGTGATCCGTCGTATGAATTTCGTTTGATGGTGATAGTCTTCTCAGGTATACCAGTGTCAAAAAGTTCCGTAAAATTTTCTTGTCCACACCGTCAAACGCTTTCTCATAGTCAAGGAAGTTGATGTAAAGTAACGGATTCCATTCAACTAATGGTTAGCTATGATTGAGAGTATCGCAATTTCGTAGGTAAAAGATCAATCCTTACGAAATCCAGCCTATCGGTTTCAAACTTGAGCGTCCACTGAATCATTCATTCACTTCAAAAACAATTTGCTGAAACCTTTTCGAGGTACTGATAGTAGAAACCGATTCTATGGCTGAAAAAATAAAGTGAGACATTTTCTTCCATTAGTTATGCGAATATTTATTGTATTCAATATCGCTGATGTTCAGTTATCAAGGCTATGTATAAATATTTACGTAACTGTGAATAAAGAGATTCTTCACAGTCATCAAAGTAAATGCTTACATAATGCCCAGATTTATCTCCAGTATAAATATGCGCTATGTCTGAGATACCAAAGAACTCCAGAAAAATAGATCCATTGTGTGGGACTGTTACAGTGACTGAATAAATCATAAAGCCGTCATACTGAAAAAAATCAAAAAATCATCAAGTAACGTATAAAATACGCTACAATAAACAGTGCGTGATAAAAACAAATACAAAAAATTATTGTTAACAATGAAGATTTGATAGCAAATATTTGCATTTCAGAGTATAAATCATCTTAAAAAATTCTTTTTCATGCTAGAATTTCGTCTTATACTTGTTCTAGTTTTAATTGCCACTAAGATTTTTAGGTGAATCAAGTTAGAATCCATCCCAACAACCAACTGAAAAAAATGGTACGAATATGCAATTCTGGTATTTGTTAGTTTATGTTACATACCTGAACATTTCCATACACGAGACATCGGAATCATAACTCACTTGAAATGTTGAATTTGTAAATTAGGTTCATACAGAACTCTTCGTTAACGATGAAGATGAACAAGTGGCACAACGAGAAAATAACGAGGAATTCTATCTTCAACAATTAAAAAAGAAATTCGCTGAAAAGAAAAACCAGATTTGATGGAGTAATAATTGATTTCTGTATAGAGACCGTCTCACTCAATTATGTATCCTGTCTTAGCGTCAGATCTAATTACTGCTAGCCAATCAGCCACAAACAATGTAAAACTTGGTGAGTGTAAATCGGTTCAATTCTTCCATACCCCATTAAAACAGAGAGATGAAACTGATAGGGCAAATCCCAGAGTAGAAGAGGTAATAAAAGTATTAGTGGTAATGGAAAAGATTAGGCATCAAAGATACGATTCGAAGAGGAAAATTAAGTTAGTGAAATAAAAAAATTTGTAAGGTAATTTAGAAACTTGGGATCTAAGGAAAGACATGAAGTGAATGTAGTTGGTGCGAACAGTTATGAACCCCGTCACTCAAAGTCGCTAACCATTTGGTTACGAAAATCACCAAAACCCCAACCAGGTAGTTCGCACTCATGAACATGGCTCAGTCTAATATTCATTATATTCAAGGACTAGGGTCATGTATTAGTTCCTGTGCACAGATGAATATTTCATGCAAGAACAATATAATGAAATACTACAAAATTTTGGTAGGATTTTTGTTGGTAAAACACAACACACTACTGAAATGATAATAATATGAAAGTACTGATTTTTCAGCAGAATCCTATGACAACTAGACGGTTAAGGAAGTATATTGCTGTGAACAGACATAGTGCGATAGAGAACCACCTGATTAATGTTTATAATCTTGGTGAAAGGCTTTAAACATGTACATAAACTGGCGTAATAACAGTATGCTTTATTTCATTTGTGTTTAACATTACCTGTACGATGTACAAAGAAAAACCAATAATAGATAGTTGTAATTTACTATTTATTGCAGACATCCCATTAAAATTGCTTCTAATCACCATCCCATTTTATAACTACTACGCATATCTTTTATAAATTTGAATTTGATCCTCATTGATATTTGAGTACATGAACATTTTCAAAGCTGTATACATGAAAGTAACGCAGTCAACCACAATACACTAACGTAGATACTTGAGATTTACACAAACATTTCAGGAATGTTTTACAAATGGAAGTCATATAGACATATAGTTATATTTTTATTATCGCTATCTCTCCGCAAAGTTTATAATATTAGCCAAACCACATAATATCTTTTAGCAATGTGTCAGTCTTCTTTTAAAGTATTTGCCATTCAGAAACATTGTCAAAAATAAATCTCAAGACGATCGCAACAGATAGTGGATTCAGGTACCGAAGAGTTCATCAAAAGTCGAAAAAACTATACGTTAAGCAGCTTACCTGTCGCAAACTTTCCATAATCAGAGGAAACGCAGAATGAGTAACAGGAGCTTTATTTTCTAGAAGATGAGATTCCTAAATATTTAAAAACAATAAAAGCAGTATTATTAGATAGGTTTGGTCACAAATTAATGACATACACCCGATTTCGAAACGATAATTGTTAATTGCTCTAAAAACCAATCCATAGACCAAAGTAAGACCGCTCACTTTCATAGTTAAGACTTTCCACCGTTGTACACCGATCATCATTTCACTTACTAGTGAAACATAACCTTTCAGTCTATCTAATAGACTCAATAGTTAATATCCCAAATACAGAGGTATGATGGCTAACAATGGGATTCAGAAAACGCATTTCGTCCTATATGGAACTCCTAAGGTGAATATACCTGCATCCTAAATTTGACGATCTAGTCACGTGATCATTAATAGGGCAAGTCATAACAAACTGTGACGCTCAGATACGTCCAACTGGGTCTCGAACAGGACGAAGTGCGCATCCTGGAGCCCACTGCCAGCCAGCACCTATAATAATGAATTAGCGGTAATATCGAAGGGATCCGCACTGGAAGAACATATGCCAAAAGAGACTGATCAATCCCGGTCAAATATCAATGGAAAAATTCAAACGACCAATGGAAATAAATTTATTAACATTTTAGTTTTGTTATCAAATGAATAAAAAGAATACATGTTAGCTGAATTGTGAATCAAACAACTAATCATCAACCTCAATGAGTACACCTAAAAACACTCCACACTCATATTATGAATTTCCAAAGTGTAATTTGAAGAGTGCTAGGTCTGAAGCTATTACGAGTTTGCTTAGTATGCGAACGGAACAAAAACTTATAACCGTAGACCAGTAAGCTAGCTATTTGATGCGTTCCAGCCCCGCTAACTACAGGAAGAAGTCCAAGCTTGGAACGGGAAAGTATATTCCGTAAGCCAGAAGCTCGAGTGAACAATAACAGACACAAATCAAACGTATATATACAGCATAAAACTGTCCTTGGGAAGCGTAGCAAAAATAGCATACTAAAAATACACAACAGACCATTAGCGTTAAAGATTCTCCCAAGTGGGAAATACGACATGAAGGTGAAAAGTGCGCTTTTGGCGCGAAAACAAGGAAATTTAAGTTTCGAAAATAAAATTATAAAATTAAGGCATTTACCAAGTGAGTTCTGGGGATCTAAAATTCCCAACAAAGAGACGTCTGTCGAAAATGCCTCCTGATAGTACCTTTTTAACTAGACTGTCTCTTCCGTTATATACTACCCTTTTTCATTTATTCTCATGCATTTATTGTTGCTGATTATACTGACCCTCCTTCCTTTATCCCTTCAGAACATCCTTCACGTATTTGTGTCGCGTATTTACTTTGGTGTTACTTATGTAACAATAGTTATGTCCAAATAAATACATAAAAAGTTGTTTACATTTTGTGATGTATTTAAATAAACAAGTTGAGAAAAGCCTGATCACACAATTATCTTTACTCCACCTGATCACACAATTATCTTTACTCCACCTGATCACACAATTATCTTTACTCCACTGCTTCTCACTAGAACTCCAGGACTTAACTCTTGAAGTCAGTCGCTATTGATCATATGTTGATTAGTATCAGAAGGGGTTTTGTGGAGATTTTTAGTAATTCTGTAGTTGAATTAATGAGTTGATTGAGGCTAGACCATCATGGAAAACCTGGAAGCACTGGACGGCCGTTTCGTTCTAGTACGGCACTCCTCAGCAGTGAGCATCCACGGCGGCGCAATTTCTTGAATCGGTTGAAGTTAGACAATACCGTTGGATGCCTGTCCAATAGTCTAGAGGTTAACCGTTTGCGCGCGAGACCGACAGGTTCTGGGTGCTTGTTGCTGAGGGACCCCATACTAGGACGAAACGACCGTCCAGTGCTTCCAGGTTTTCTATGGTAGTCTAGATTTAATTGACTCATGAAGTAAACTATAAAATTATCTTTACCTTGGACATGCCCTGGTAATTTCTGATTTATTTTTCATCCCAATTATCATTTTTCAATTCATCTGAACTTTGATTTAATTGTAAAACTTATTTTCATATAAGATGCCTTTGAAAACGAAATTGGTCAGATTGGCTGAAATGTGTCCAACCGAATACACAGTATTTTCCAGATTAACTAAGTCATCTCACAACAGTTGAGAAACTTATAAAAGAGGCTAACCTACAAAATAATTATTTCTATTCTATTGTGGTGTGCGCTACTTATGCGGACAGGTATAAGTAGTACGTAGCAGGAACTGGAATGCTTATCAGCAGAAAATTGAAATAAGAAGAGAAAGGAAAACAGAGGGCAATCGAAATAACAACAGGACCAGAAGAATTATGGAATGTGTAGAGGATAACTCAAGAAAGATACGCAAAAGACGTATATAGTGTATGATTTTCATATTTTACGACACCATTGAGCAATTTTGCGTTAAACAATAAATTAGTTTTCCCTACTAAGTCTTTATTCACAACATTATGACTGGTTTTTGTTGAAGACAATTTTGTAAAATTGGGTAAAAACCACTTTCATGGTCTTCTTCGTGAACTGTCTTTCACAAGTAATGTCTAAGAAAGATATTTACGAATTATATCGTTAATTTTTTTCACAATGAATCATCACTGTTAATTTCTAAGAAGATTGATTTGAAACATATGATGAGTAACTACAGTTTCTTTTCCAACTGTTTTTGGTATTCCAATAATAAAAGTGGTTCATCTATCTAACTTTTAATCAAGGTGCTGATTCACTGATATCTGGAAATTAGAAAACACGATTTCCTTCAACAATAGAGTTGATGTTGACAGACAACATGTCACTGTTTATTTACTAAAACATTACTAATGAATACAACTATTTCCACCACCCCTAGTCCCAATATTTCTACATCGAAATACGCATTTATGATAAAGCACATTCTATATTAATTTGACTGATCGCTTAACTGATACAATAATGTCTACACTTAATACCAGAATGCTTCAAAATAGCACAACAACAAAAAGTATAACTAAGAAAAGTAAAGAAAGAATAATCGACGAAAAGTGAAACTAACTTAACTAGTAGAAATATAACTATTATATTCCCTACCTTTTGTGCTATAAAAGTGAGAAGTATGAATACAGAGTTATAACATATAGTTGCTCACTTATCACAAAACGGTGAGCGAGTTTTGTTCCATTAACAATCGAAAGCCATAAAACTATATTTCTGTTGTTCTATCCCATTACAAGAGATACAAATCTGAGAGGAATACAGAACTTCGAGCATAAAACTGCAACAACTGTTGACTGAAATCCTCATTTGTTAAATCTACATTAACGAATGAGTGAAATTAAATGTGCTAAACCGATAATAATATATACATCACACACAAGACATCAAATTATCCAGTGAATGGTGTTAGAAACTGAAGCTTGAATATCGATTAAACAATTTTACAATTCCATGGCTGGCAATAAAACGCAGTCATTTATTTCGAAATCAAAATCAATTCTGGGTTGAAGACACGTTTATGAAACAAAAACATTGACTTACGAATTTCATATTAACACGACCATACGAAATCTTTGTAGTATTTCTTGGTAACTCCGGTGGTTTGGTGCCTTTTCTCTTAGAACAAAACAAATGACAGGAAATTTGACAGATCTTATCAGGAAACTTACGTAAATTATATTATTCTGTGTTATAATCAAAACAAATGTTCTTCACTGATGACTTACCTATGTCTATAAATACAAAACCATAAATTATGGCTTTACTTCGTATTAACTCTGACCAGATAAAACTCAAACACATTGTACTCGCCACAAATTTTGAGCCGAATCAAATAGGTTAATTCCACCACTGACAGAAGCGAATCAACAAAACATTAAACAGCAAATCATCCCAAACATACTAGCATTATTACTCAATGCGATCAGAAAGCTCTGCAATGTGGTGGCGTTTTCACCAAATAGGACTATCATTTATACAACATAAATCGATAAGTGAACTTCCTGATAGAAGATCAACCCTCGAAAAGTCAAATGAAGTGTTTTCTCTAGGAGAACATCCATGATGAATTGAATGAAAATGGGGAAAGCGAACAACCCTGACGAATACCACATGAAGTTATCACTTTCGATTCAGTCTCAATAACAGCTGTCTTTTTACGAACCTGTCAATCAATCAAAGTGCAGTCTTTGTATCAAAGTAGTTGAAGACAACCAATAAACAGAAATGAACAATTGAATGGTTCCTGTTTGTTTATTTGCCGAATTTATTTACGAATTTAAACACTTTTGCATACAATTATCTTGCTGTAAAACATAAATTAGGGTTTGCCTTTGTCACACCGAACAACATGCATCATTTACTGGTCATTGTATTTTATCATAATAATTCAGCATTATCCTCTGTTAATATAACCACTTTCGTATGCTTCCCGGATCCAGTGGAACGTTCTCGATAGATTAGATAATAACATGCCAGATAATAGTAGTTAGTGATTTTAGACGCTGTACACTATAACATAACTATTTATCCACACTAAAATAAATTTGGGATAAAGGATGGATTTCTACGTCAAATTTTCATGAAAAAAAAACTTACCCGGAAAAGTAGATCTCTTATTATCATATATTTTCTTGTTATATCACCAGCTTCACTGATTGGAGCATCATAATCATAACTTGTAATTGATGATTCAGGTCTTGCACCACCGTTCCAAAATCCAAAATTAGTTCCACCGTGAAACATATACCTTTATAAAAAAGAATACTGTCTCGAAATACAGCTTATTAGCGCTCATTTAGCTCTATGAAACCTTAACATTTAAATTTCTACACAGTATTTTCACAAACGACAAAAGAATCAAAATGTATGATCATTTCAAATACATGAATTGTATCTTGAACACTAAAATCAAATAAACAAGAAAAAAGGATCTGTTTTTACTATTCGTAAGAACCTTCTCATTTCCCCTTCTATTCAGCACAGATGATACTATGTATTAAAATATGAGAAATATCTTGGCATCTAGCACTTCACCATACCTCGGCAAGGATTATGAATAGCGAATAAATGATGATGCGCACTGCTGAGTCCTATAGTAGGACGAAACGGCCGTCCTGTACTTCCAGGTTTTAAATGGTGGTCTAGCTTATATCGACTCGTGATTTCACCTGTGAAAATAGAGACTTAACTTCTACAATCTCCTATTTAAATATCCGATGTACGATGCGGCATCCTCCCTCTGAAACTGAAGCTTGTACTTAGATTGGTCACACAATGTTTAACTGCCGCTGCCATAGATATGTAAAAAACTCCTGCTCCTTTGGAATGCTAATCTGAACTCTGATCATTTCGTGGTTTGCTGTTGGCTTGTCATGCTCTTCAGTGGCTAAACAATTTGCCTTCATTCACACTACACAGTGACGTTTGAGAGGTAATCAGAACGTTCTTGTAACCGGGCAGTTGTGTGTGTTGGTAGCCTGACTGATGCGACTAATCTGGACATAGTGAAAGTCAGAGTGATTCATACTAATATTAGCCACCTCTGTAGCTTTGAAATGTCCGGTTTACAACGCTTTTAAAACTCGACCTTTAGGCCGAGAGCATTCGACGACCCGATGTTCGACTATCGTTGTCTCAGGAGGGTCAATCACATGCAATGACAACACCATATTAGTAGTGTTATGGTTCAACAATGTGTATTTCAACACAGTGACTATATTTCAATTGGTGGCATCATCTTGAAACACGTGCCTCTGTGAATTGGATATGTTTTACGGATGTTGTAGCAGTGACTTCCACACAATGCATTATTTGCCAAAGCTGAGACTGGGTTGAAAGCGAACAAACAGTCAGTTCGTGAAATGGAGCCGTGGTAAGAAGCAAAGCTGTATAGAACTGGCATATCTTGGTCTCTCATGACTTCCTGGCTGGTGTCCTAGAAAAAGTGCAATTCAGTGGCTTGAGATGTTATCCGATATGGCTCAGAGTAGAAGTCAAAGGCGATTCTGTTGCAATCTTCTTTTATAATTTCTGCAAAAACGAGATGAGTTTCTTTTAAAGAAATAAGTTATTCATGGTTGTACTCTTTAACATTTTATCATTTACACTGTGTCATCATATATACTTTACATTTATGAGGATTTACTTAAATCAATTCCCAAATATTAAGACTAAAATCAACTGACGAAATGAAATATTGGTTTCCTCGTCAATGAGAAATAAATTGATCCACTATACAACACTTGTTACTGAAAATCAAAACGATGATCACTTATTTGGCCAAGTCCACACTAATGATTTGAAGCATGAATTCAGTCAGTTTACATCAACTTAAGTATTCCGGTAAGTAAATCATTGAATAAGAGAAGCGGACTGAGAATTATAAATAATTTCAGTCGTTGCGAATACATCTAAAGCAGATTCCACATGTGCTAAGTTCCTATATACATCCTGCAGTGATTAAACAGAAGTCGATGGAATGTAAGCAGATTTAAAAAATAAAATTATACTACACTTTTAGGTAGTAAAATGTTTTTAATGACAAACAAAACACTAATCAAGTTTCCTGAAGTGTAGAATAAATGGAAACAATGTTACATATGTATTGCAGAAGTACGATGAAATGTTATAGCTTCAGTTATGAGATTACAAATTGATCATAGTAGTCAGTAATCAACCGTCAAACATGTAGCTACCTAGAAAAGTAATTAGACTAGACATTTATGAAATCTGGAAGCTGATGAAAAGCTGTTACACAAGATGACATTCGTTTTCCCAGAAGAAAACAAATTGATAGACTTCAAAATAAATAAAGCGAAAACTAACTTACATATTTACATTGACTCTCATTGAGTAGCTGATTAGATGATTTAGTCCATCCACTGCCCATTCAGGATTAGTAATATGGTGATCCCCGCCCCACACGTCTAACCAACCAACATAATATTCACTATTTACCTTATAACATGAAATAAAAATTCGTTCATATGTTAACATTTCATCATCACAATAGTGAATTGGTTATTATAAAGCCGCTTCAGTTCCTCAGAGTTAAAAATTACATGACTTGTAGATTTCAGACTCAATTATTAAAATGAACTAGGAGTAATTACTGCTAAAAATGTACTACCTAATTGACTAATTGAACTAAGTCAGCATAAGCTATCATACAAACAGTCAGTATAAAAATCCTGATTTTTGAGCTCATTCAATTACGGTTACCAAATGGTTGTAGGAAACTACCATCAAATTACATCAGACTAAACAGAATTATCATTGAAGTGGTCTAGAAATCTTGTGCTTCACTTTGAGAGGGCAGACTATGTAGAAAGCGCTCTTTAGTACTAGACTATTGTTATAATTTATAGAAACTCTTCTTCCTACTTGACACTTCTGTGACAGAATCCTAATAGTGTAACAGTAAATATTTTCTTTGAAGGCTTCTCGCTACCTAGACCCCATCAGTTTTAGATATCATATTTGATCATCGAAATTTATGAACAATGAAATATAAGTTTTTCAATCATATCCAGTTGCCACTACATCTGTCATTTAAATCGATAGAGTTGTTCCCAATTATTTTGGCTCACAATCATGACAACCCTTGTACAACCAGTCAAAATAATTAACACATATTTCGTGTTCCATGGATAACAACTAAATAATAAATAAACCATTTCCAAAGCTTTAATTTTCTCATTATTCACCAGTAAATATTTTTCATAATAAATTAACATCAAAATATTAACATTAATTTGGATGAATTCATATATAGGTTACACCGGTTATGAATTATGACATAAAAGTTGTGAAACTTGTTTCATATTTTTTCTTAAATCATACGTAGATAAGTAAACAGTATAAAATTATGTCGGTATCAATAATTTTAACTAGTGTTCATCACTATAAATAAATTATACTGTATTTAATAATTAATGACCACGTTAAACAGCCATGAATTTCTACCTTTCGAAGACATGATGAAAATGAAGCTCACTGTTTAGTAAATGAGGCAATTTGTTGGTAAGTTTAAATAGTATTTTTGACCGAGTTCTTTTGGTCAAGTATGGTATACAATCAGTGACTCAAGATAGCGATATATTGTATTTGTTTGATAGTTGGAGAAAGTATACAAAAAATCGTAGAAATAAGTTGTGCTTTTTTGTTTTAACAGCAACGTCAATAAAACCAGACTATACAGAGAACCCAGCCTGAATCACTAATGATTTAATTTGAACACCATAGCCGTGGGCTAATTAAATCGAGAACAGCCTATTGCTAAGCCTATTTCAGTAGACAGAAAAGTCACTTACGGGTAAGTATCTAGTCAGTATTAGGTGTAGACCAATCATTATAAGTTTGCGCTCAGAAGTATGGGTAATATTTATGTGATCATTTTAAAAGTTCGGCACAAACTACATGAAGGGAATGAACTCTTTAGAGCTCTTATACCAGTGGGTTAAGGTGGTAAACATTTATTTCTAAAGAGATATCATTATCCTCGATAACTTACAAAGTGAAAGGAAATAGTCATGAAAAAGAATAAATTCGGTATTCATCAACAAGAAATCTTGAAATTGATGTTTTTAATCATAGCAATAACAATTCATGTTCAGTTCAGGAAATAAATTAAATTTAAATTGAGCCACACACAAAAATAGTATGTTGTCTTTGATTAACCTAAAAAGCACAATAAAGATCAACACACTGCTAACCTATTTGGTAATAAGTGTTTTGGCTTTCAAAAATGTTATTAATCCATCTATTATAAATATTCATCAGCACTTACCCAGGGTTGATTCTGTCGGAAATCCTCCAATACTTTGAAAACCTCAAGTACAGGAGCAGTTGCTATACAAAGCGAGAAAAAAGTGGAAGACCAATTAGTAAAGTGAAAATAACTTTGTTCAACACACGCGATTAATAACAACACAAAACATTTCAGTATGTGACAAATCCAAATAATCCTGGTCAATGCCGTGTTTTACCTCGGATTAGAAAGTAACCTGTGTTCAAGGAATAACCGAATAGCATAATCCATTATCAAAATAAATACAAAAACTTAAAAAGCATAGAATTTAAATCAAGAAATTGGAAACATACTAGGACCAAAGTTAACTGTTGCTAGATAGCGTTTGTCAGATGAACCACATTTTAATAAGCTGTTGGATGGACCATCAGATGTAAAAATTATGATATTTTCCCCTAGATGTGAGCGTGCTAAATTGTAAAGCTCTTTTAAGTATGTTTCGTCGCATGTTGAATAGGAGCCATATTCATTTTCCAACTGAAGACGGATAAATGCAAAAACGTCAATAAAAATATTTAAGATATTAAACAGTGGTTGATAATGCAAATTAATGATTGATAGGTTTTCGAAACCGTTTTGCTTCATGTTGAGGTATCAGAGAATATATCATTGGCTCTAGACTCAGTAAAATAGTCAAATATGAATAATTATACAAAGCTTCCAATGTTTGGTTGCTTGGTATTTAACTCGTAACAGAACGCCTACTTTCGGTTTGATCTGATGGACTTCAAAAAGTGTAATTCTCAGTGGACATTTAACAAATCAAAGTCTCTGAGTTTCCAAAAAGCGTTGAGTGATCACTAATAAGTAAAAGTTCATCAACTGACAACCTAACATCAACAGAATTTTAAACTCGACAATCTTGAAGTCCCTAGTCAGATTAAATATCAGTCGATTAATATTGCACAACAAAACTAAAATTATCATGTCAGGCTAGTTTAAATACTCAATCTAGGTGGTCGCTCTGCTTTTATTTGATGTTCCTTATAATAATTCAGATCGACTTTAAAACATATGGGTTATTAAGAATCGACTGGGTGTCTGTATAGTGACATGTTTGATTAAATGTCTGAAGATTCCCAACATGCGGACTACGAACGTGAACATATCGAGAAATCCAACATCGAATTTCATAAAAGAAAACATTTTCCTTTTTTACAAACCGTCAAGAATTCCATAAAAGTTGTGGTAAAAGAAGGCATTCATCAGTAAAGCATATCTGTGGTTTACATGACGGACATAATCACCCACTGGTTTTACTGAAACCTCATAATGACTCTGTCACCTGACTCTGACTCCTTCAACTGAGAATGCATTAGTTAAATCCCGAAACCAATGATGAAATTAAATAAAGTAGTAGTTTACCTGCACCATAATTACCGGCCCACCATTCTCATAGAGAAAACGTTTCATACTCGGTAACAAAACATTGAACCACATCGTCACAAACTTCATATATTCTGTTGAAGAATACCAATTAAAAATGATTTGTTTCAACTGTAATTGCTATGGTGAGTGTAGTAAAAGTGAATACAAACAAATTAGGCAAAAATTCCCTCCGCATTTACAATCACTTCACAGTTTGGTTTGATAATTCGCAACAGACTAGTCAGTGCCGTTACAAATATCTACATATGATGACTTCATGAGAAGCAGACGCGTTCCTAAATCAAGTTAGTACTAAGTGGAAATTTCCGACTGTCAACTTAATGCTACTCAAGTAACAAATTTTATTCGATACGGTATGAACTTAAATAAAAACCGAAGTAGACGGTTCATAAGCGACTGAAAGCAATAGTTGTAACCTTCATTTAGCGTCATTTGAAACGTCACAACAGCTACGTCGTACCCACCATTAACACTATTTCTATGTTTGTATTTATTGGGATTGTTACTATGATTAGTCTAATAAACTTCGGCTATTCGTAGCTTTGAAATGTGGTACACTTAGAAACCATGTATTATTTCAATAGCTCCTGTGATGTACCATTTACTTTAGGGATCCCCAGACAATGAATCGCCATTTAAAGAAAAGCAGGAAGTTAGCATGTAAGCTTGGTGACACTGATCAGAATAGTTTGGTGTAGCAAAAAGCCAGCCTAAAATTATATTGCGGCTTTTATAAGATAGTGATGAAAATAGTGCCTTTGTTTGGCGCTATAAATTTCGTTACAGTTAAGATTTCTCAGAAAACCACTTTCCCTGTTACTTAGTTTCAACAAGTCACTTGGTAATTTTGATTATCATATCCCTATATCGTTAGATAGTGTATTGCTTAATAACCCAGGTGTAATTAGTATTAATAATTACTTATCAAACATCTTATAATTAAAAACATCAGCTGAAAGAGGGATGACAAATGTAAGTGGTAGCTAACAATATAAGTTCTCCGTTATTGCTGACTGACTGAACAATATAAGACACTTCAGTTTGTACCTTTCTAGACCTCAATCATATATATCGTTCAAAAATATACTACGAATTCATTCATTTTTAAATTTCAAGTACTTTGCTCAATAAATTACTAACCATAAAACTACTACTACACATGGAAAATGATACAAATGTAGATCCAGAGGGATAATAGTAAGAGCCAGAAACGTCTGCTTAAGCTGTTTCAACAAGATAAATTCCACTTTGAATCTGATAGTCTCTGGGTTTGCATCATCTTTAAAATATACATATGATTTTGTAATTTATGTGATCAGTTTAGCATCAATCACAAATTACCTGGATCACTAGAGCGTAACTTCATCAACGGATTAAACCGCAAAAGCCAAGCTGGTAAGCCACCCTGAAACGAAGCACAGATTCACTGCTTAGAAGTAGAATTCGTTGTGAATGAAACACTAAATACGTAACGCATTGATATTTCAAACTCACAAAATCCCATTCAGCACATATGTATGGTCCGACTCGTGCAATTACCAACAGATCTAAAGATGAAGCCAGCTCCAAAAACCTTCCCAAGTTCCGATCACCATCAAAATCATATACATCCTTTTCGGGCTGATGGAAATTCCATGGTACGTAACTGAGTAAAATAAAAGTCAACCACTGAATACATGTGTTATTAATATTATTCGCAAATTATGTTAGATAAAAGGCATCAACACCAACATAATAATCGCAAAACACCATTTGTCTTATTTCAGAATCAGTACAAATACTCATGTCAGCCATTCCCTTTACAACAAACTCAAAATTCACGATATCACATTATCTGGTTGATACCTTTTGCTTTTTTAGAGCAAATTATAGCGCTAGGTTTAGCAAATACAACAGTAACTAAACATGATAAAAACTCCGAAAATTATTAATACCAATTATTCAATGCAAGAACCACTCTTATACCTAGTTAATAGTCAGTCAGTAACAACGTAGAACTTCGTACGTACGTACATCAGTTCGAGTTGCCACACCACATTAGCACAGAGATGCACTTGTCGATTCAAATCCCGTAGTGGTAGAGGTAATAAGAGTATAAGCAGTAATCAGGAAGATTAGTGTTTGGAGATGTTACAGTGAAATAAATTTGGGAAGAGAAAAAAAAGGGACATGAAGAATTCAGACGATTAGAATTTGGGAGAACACAGAGAGTGGATGCACCTGCGCCATTGCAAACGATTTTGAGCCATGTCATTCAGGGTCTCTAACCATCGGTTGCTATCATCTCGCGGTCCCCAACCAGGTAGTCTGCACCTACCAACATGACTCAGTCCACTTGTCAGTGACTTCATGGACTTGTGCCATGTTTTGGTCTGGCCGCCCCTAGCTTTCTTCCAACCTACTCCTATACCACTGAACATAGCACGTCGAGGCAGTCGGTCGTTGGACATACGTAACACGTGTCCCAGCCACCTCAACTGATGAAGTTTCACTACTTCATCAATTGATTTGCTATCCTTACCTAGTACCCGTTTCCTAACAACTGTGTTACTTACTCGATGGTCCCATAATATACGAGCAATGTTTCGAAGACACCTATGATCGAATACTAGTAACCTACGAATATCCTCTACTCTTACCGGCCATGTTTCACTGCCATAAAGAAGGACGGAACGAACTGCTGCGCAGTAAACCCGTCCTTTGGTTGATAGACGGATATCTCGCCTACGCCATAAATGACGCAAGTTGGCAAAAGCTAGTCGAGCCTTCTGTATCCGTGCTGAGATTTCGTCACAAACCAGACCACAAGGGCTGATGAGACTTCCAAGATAAGTGAAGCGGTCGACACACTCAACTACTTCACTCCCTATCAATAGTTCGGGTGTCAATGCGACCCAATCCTGAAGCAACATTTTGCATTTCGAGGGAGAGAATCGCATCCCGAACATGCTTGCATTGTTGCTTAGAGTGGTCAGAAGACTCTGCATTTTGTCAGCGTCTTCACCAAATAAAACTATGTCATCAGCATATTCTAAGTCAACAAGTGAACCTCCCGATAGAAGTTCAACCCCTGGAAATTTAGATGAAGAGAGTGTTATCTCTAAAAGTACGTCGACCACAAAGTTGAACAAGAATGGGGAGAGTGGACCTAGTCAATAATCACTACACTACTGGCAAAAATCTCATAAACCTGTTGGTGCTACTTCTATAGGCGTGCTAATAGTCTTAATGTAGAAAATTGAAGAAAAAACATGAATATTCCAAACACTAGTATTAGACATTTAATACTCACATCTGAATGGCATCCAACCCAGCAGCCTTCATTTTCAAAAGTCGATCGTGCCAGTACTGTTCCGGAATGCGAAAATAATGTATACTTCCGGAAACATATTGAAAAGGTGCATCATCTTTCATAAACACATGATTGTAGTAGTCGACAGTGAACGAACGTTTTGGTTTGTTACAGTAACAAGGAAATAAGACCAACAAAATGACGATCAACGAAGAAAATATTTTCTCCTGAAAAGAATATGAGAAAAATCACGTGTACGTATTCGCACAATACATTTAGTACGTATTTTGGACCACCAAGGTGGGCAATATTAATATTCTCCTGTAACTGGAAAACTAACGTGCCTTTGACAACAGAAAGAAGAGAATCCCCCCGCATTCTTGGAATTCTTTAAGTCAAGCCTTAAAAACAATTTTAACCACATGTACAATAGTTCACATAACGAAATTAATGTTTCCAAGATGATAAGAAAATTGTTGCTCATATGTTAAGGTCGAGGACTTTGATAAACAGCTGATCGTCTAGAAAGTCATATTTCAAACTGATACATAAAGTCATGGCCACACTTTTGGGATTCAGAAACTAAGAAATGATCACGTCCGATATCAAATGCCAAGTTATTGTGAGGCCATATTTTCACAGAAATCAGAGATAGCAATCACTCATTTTGCCCATCCCGATAGTCAACTGCTGTACGTCTCATATAGAAGTTTTTACTAGCACACTGAAATAATTCGTAAGATTACCACAGATCTGGATTGCTATCCCAGCTGATCCAGGATGCTCCATATGCCACATGTCGTAAAGACCACTCGCAGGCCATCCACCTTTCTTATATTCGAGATTCACTACAGACCTGTAGTCACTAGGCAACGTTCAAGCATAATGAAGCAAAATTTGACTTTCTTTAAAAGTCTCTGCATGAACGGCCGTAGATCCCTCTTATATTTCATCGTAACTTTAGGTGCTTGATAATTTTGCTTCTAAATTGGAACAATATATTGAATGTTGCATGATGATGTGCAGTACTGCATAACGTTAACGAGAAAAAGTAAGTAACCGATAAGTAAGCAAAAGAAAGTAAACAGTATGCGCTGACATTTAACAATTTAAGAAAACAAGTGAGAGTAACACAAGTCTGGAATTCAGATAATCTGGCAACCTAAACTAGACGGTTAAACACAATAACAGTTGCAGTCGTGATTCGAAAAGACGAAAAAGTACAACCTCCTTCGATATATCATATTTTAATGCGTTCAAACAAACGGTTACAGACTTCACGGATAAAAAGGGTATATCGGTGTTCTTAAACATGCGACTGCAAAGTGCTGTTGATAGTGTACTGGTAACCACTGTTATGCACGGTGTGCATTAGCATACTCTCTAGGATTGGTTTCTAAGCTTCAACTCTTGGACCACCTGTCTCATTCGTTGAGGTCAGATTGAACATCATAATGATCAGTCTCAATTTTTAATGCTTTACAAACAGAAAATAAAAGTTAGTCTTCTGTTTATTAAACGTAATACAAGACAGTTCTCATGCTGATAATAGACAGACTAGTGCTTAGTGTTATATCAAGCAACGGACCCGAAATCTATGCTTCCCGAGACTATCTGTTGGCCCCTGAACCATAGCGCCATGTGATACGCACAGAAGGTAATGTAAAAATGCTTCAATTGCAGACTTACAGTTATGTTGGTAAGTAGTTGTGAAGCCAGATGAAAAGGAAATGCACGGTAAACAGTAATTTCAAGATAAGCCAATCACAAAAATCAGTATAATATACGCATATTTAAGAATAAATGTGGAATTTATTCGGCTTACTCTATCTTTAGGGTTGATATTATTAAGTTTATCCCCGAAGTCTTTCAAGAAAATCTGGCTTACAACATTCATCGCTTAAGTAACTTCGCTTTCGAAACAGGTCGTACTTTGAACCGCGAACACAGAACTTCTGACGAAAAATGTTGACTTTTATCTTGACCTAAAGCGAATTTCTCTATAGAATCGGTAGTCAGTTGTGCTCAGTTTGCTTTTATTTCGATGTATGCTATGAATAATAACCAGCTCATGCTTCGGTATATAAGCTGAACAAGCGCTCGTGTTTTTCTGATGATAATTACAAATGATGTCGGACAATTTCGTCCCTTTAAATTCGATAAGCGTCCGTTACAATTTACTAACTGATCATATAAATTTTGTTCTCCCAATGCAGCTTCTACAGTACACATGGTACAGGATTTGAGAAATTATGTCGCCCCATCTAAGAAATAGTGTATAAGATGAGGGTAATAACCTCGTAAGCTTGTGTAAGGATTGAGACACATCTACAAAATGTATCTGTTAAAATAATCCACGTACACTTGTGGTTAACTGCCGAGCATTTATATATGCCTACATTACCGGAACGAAACAGGTCAGTGAAGATAACTGAGGGTTTAGTGCATGGACAAAACCTAGTCCTGCCACTCTCTACATTTTGTGTAATAAAATCAGACTTCCCATTCGCTATAACTATAATGTTAAGCCTAGTAATAGAAATATTCGAGCCCCTGCAAACGATTATTTCTTTTCAGAAACCACAGTTCACTGTAGACTTATGCACATTAGTTTATATGTCCTGATTCATCGGACTTCTTCGCCATATCACTGAGAAGTCTGTTTAGCGACAGCGAATCCCCGGGGTACTGAACAGCGAATTTTTCTCATATATGATTCAAAAGAGCAGAATATAATTCTAAGCAAATATGTCTAACTACATGGCTAGCAATGGACTTAAACTGTGCACATCGTATGCCACATGTTTCCTATCGTGATATATTTCGTAAGCCGACAAAAAATTATCAAGATAATCGCACACTTTTTTGGAGAACACTGAGTAGATGAATAATAATAGACAAAGAAAATTCCTATGCTGTGCCAGTGGTAACCTGTCATGCAGAAATACGAGACCTAAATATGATACTAGCAACCCACATTAGGTTGCTTTCCAATCAAAAACTTCATAAAATGAACGATATTTCCTTCATAAATTACAAGTTATTTGTCGTCTACTACACAATATAGCTGCATTAATGGATACGAAAAGGGACCCATTCATTCGCTTTATTCTCGTTCTCGTTAGATTATTCCATAAAGAAATACTCCAAGTTCTACAAGGTGCATCAGTTCTGACGGAACCACTTTCAACATATCTACAGATAGTTTTTTGAATACACTCCTACCAGGAAGATAAATAGTTTGAGACTAACTGCGAAATGTGACTCCTCTTCTTGAGTCGTGCTCGCCATTGAGAAAAGACATTCGTCCATTAAAGTAAACATTTAAAGCCTCACAATCGTCATAACCTGGAGTACCATTATGTCCAACAAGATACCTAACGCTACTATAAGCAGGATTATTACAAATCATGGCGACTAACTTCATTTCTCAGCGTTAAGGCCTACTGTAAGCACTCCATTACAATAGGCGCGGACACTGAGTTGAAATCAGTTGGTTTTATCTCACCACCATGGACATCAACCAAGAATGCGTGACTGAGATATACGGCTACAATACAATGTATGATAGGCCACAAGTGTAGGTTAGAACTTCCAGACGCCAACAAGCCATCATAGCTTTGTCGTAATTTCAATTCACTGAATTCGCTATTGCTCAGCTACATTTCTGAAGTTCTCAAAATATTAGATCTCAATCCAATGAGGTAGTACAATGAACGAGAACACGAATGGGGATAACTAAATATATTTCAATACAAAATTGTGAAATCTCTTAGTAAAATTTGAGAACCATAAACGAAATGCTTCATTTGCAGAATGACATCAATTTTCTCAGACTTTATTGTTCCTTCATTTCCAAATCGACCACTCTCTATCCTCGTTCTCTTCTCTTCGAGCTTCTCAACCTTCCACAGCCAGAGATTCCACTTTCGATTGGTGATACACACTACGTATATCTATCGACATCAGGAGCACACACCACACTCGTCTCCCCTTTAAACACTCGTTCTTGCAGCTGTTCTGCTAGCCGTTTCACTTTCTTCTTTTCTGCAGTCTATGTTAGTAGTACGCACCTGTGTCCAGAAATTTGGGTTCCATTTTATGGCAACGACTGAAGCACTTCTGACAGACGTCGGAATTCCAGGAATCGCTATTCCAAAATGATCCAGAATTTCATTGACTTTCCAAAGTGTGATGTCACATCCTTTCATCATACAAATAATAATTTCATCTAACATTTCTTTCACTGACAAATGCTTATACTTGTAACTTCTAAATATTGTTTAGCGAAACAGACAAAAGTCAATACCGGTCACTGCAGTAGATGTACAATGACTGTAGGTACAAGAGAAAATCGCAAGATTGTACTGTGTAGCTACAACGTTGATCATACCGTTTGGATGTATAATGTTACACGTTTGTCTCCTGTTAATGATCAAGCCGCCGAACTCATTTTTTAACTTCCTCACCCCTCTATAAAATACCTACCGATAGCACTTATCAATTTCGATACTCTTTTGGCTGACACTAATTTCTCGCCTGGCCCACTATCAACACTATTAGTCTAAAGGTCTCAGTTGATTGAAGGTAGGCTGGACCAAAGGAGCGTTCAAAGATTACGACAGTAATCACAACTCAACTGCATGGTGTGGGGTTTTCGAAAAAGTGGTTTGGAGCAAACACTTCTTATGATAATTATGTTAAAACGAGTCATTGTAGATAATGATGGGACGTCCACGTATGATCACATCATGATAAGTCTATAATCTTAGGATTAGGTCTACTATTAGAGCGGTACAAATAGCGAACTGGACCATAATTCCACATTGTTAGGCCCGACTAAAGAAACGCAGCTTGATATTAGTCCTCATTTCTACTCCAACTTTCTCAATCGATTTTTATTTGTGTTAACCCATTATTCTATTAGTCCCTTGATTAATACTCACATGTACACTAGTATTGTAATACTGATTAGTACTCATAGCTTACTAGCTCAGTCGACACTAATAACCGGTCATTTATATTATTAGCTATGATTGCTCATAAACAAGCTTTAGCAGCATTCATATGGTTAAGTGAAATAGACTTCCTAAAACATCAAGCACTAGCAAACATGGCCTGCGATTAACGTAAATACAAATTGACTAGAAATGTAAGTAAGCACTAAATCGTTATACTGGTCCAATACTTCTTGTTTCTTCACTTAACATTTTACTCTTCTTCAATTATGGACTATCCGTTAATATCTTTTCTTCCGACCTTTGCCTGTCTTATTTCCAATTTTCGAGTTACATTGTCAAACAGCCAAGACAAAGCCTCAGAAACTTAAGCTGTCTTAACCTCATTTCAGATTGTTTATACGCTGGAAGTCAAATGTTTATCAGAACTCTTGTAACACGCACACCCAGGAACTGGTTGAAATCCTGCGTGCTCAATATGGTTGCAGTTGGATCATTACTACCTGTCACAGCTGATCTTATATATGTCAAATCTATTGGGTGGTCCAGTACCTGAAAATAGTCCAGGCGAATTTTACTATTTTGATGAATGATTCACACTCTTATTACTTAACATGTATATATTCATTTAGACTATCCGTATATATTTCATACAAAGCACTCAAAACGCTTTTGGTATAAGATATATTTAATAGGTTTATACTGCAACATACTACTATGAAAAATTGTGTTGTTTACGGACGAAGCATATTATATTTTAAAAATATATTTCACGTTTATTAGTTTCAATTTCCTTTGCCATGTATTTGTAAATTTCACTATGCTAACTGCAGTAACTTCCTGTGGAAAGTTTAGAACTCGTCATATTCATGACTGAAGTTCCATAAGTAGTCTCAATTTTTGAATTATTATCAGAAAGAGTATTTTGGAGATTGCAGTAATTTCAATAGTTGAGATCATGAGTCAATTGAATCCAGATTACGATGGGAAACATGGAAGCACTGGACGGCCGTTTCGTCCTATTGTGGAGCTCCTCACTGGTGCGCATCCATGGCTTCGCCACGCGGAATTCGAACCTAGGACCTATCAGTCTCGCGCACGAGCGCTTAACCGCTAAACCACTGGGCCGACATCCAACTGTGTTAATGTCTAATTTCAACTAATCCGCGAATCGAGTAACACATCCACCATTGCCGGCTTAGTGGACTGGAGGTTAAGCGCTCGCGCGCCAAATTGACAGGTCCTAGGTTCGAATCCCGCGAGGCG